CAAATATTTCAAGGATTGTTTTGTTCTATTATATTTTTTAAACTGCTTCTGAAAAAAAAAAACTAAGCTCTGAGTAAAAAATGAAATCTACTTGTTTATATTGAAAATGAATCTAGCGAAGATGAAGACAATGAAATTCAATAAAAATCTCATACAGATGGGACTAAAAGCTTATCGAAAGTGCTATTGAATAAATGGAACAACAAGAGATGCATCAGCCTTCCTAAAAAAAATTAGCGAAACATCACTGCAGAAAAGTGCTAAGTAATGAAAAATAAAAAACTATTAAGGACTTTTTTTTAAGTAAAAAATTATTCTTGTAAAATATGCTCTTTAGGTGTTTTTAAGTGAACTTTTGAATTATAATATAAATTGTATGCAGTGTACTCGTATAAATTTTGTATTTTTTAATTACTATATGTATTACATTTATACCTACTCTTTTTCTTTTTTGTACTCTTTGCTTTAACGAAGTTTCTCATTTATCTCAGGTAGTAGTCGCGGTTCACATTAACTCGGATAATCGGGACACTACTGTATTCCGAAATTCTATATAATTTTAAAAAATCATTCCTTAAGGGGTTACCCAATTATGAAATAAAAATAGAGGTAGCAAAGTTTGACATTTTTTTTAAACTTATTCAGGAATACCTAAGCTTTTACCTAGAATACTTAGACAGGGCAGATTCTTTTGAAATAAAAAATAACTTACCTTACACCGTTTTGTATTTATGTAGAAAGGGATACACAGTCTTTTAATGGAATGAAGAAAAACTTACCAACAGAATCTAAAACTCAATACATCACCAATTTGTTTAATAAAAAAAGATCTGACAGCCAATGTACTAACTTAAAAAATAGTCTTGTTACAATGTAAACCACAATTAAAATAGCAGTTTAAATCTAAATCGCAGGTTAAATTTTTTTCTAAAAAAAAATTTATCTGATTTAAATCTATTTTTTTACATTAATAAATTAGTTAAAAACTTTTATAAACATAATTTTTAGGGCGTGATTTTTTATTTATTTATTGAACATTGATAATGAAGGTTACATCGAAAGAAACAAAAGGGAGTGTGTTAAGTACATTTTTTAAAAAAATTAATAAATGAATAAAATTAAATTCACAGTGGATAAGAATGGCATTGAACTGTTAAATTATAATTTTCCATTAGCCTCAAAATAATTTGCTGGTGATAAGCATATTTCAATTATACCAATTTTTCGTTTATTTGTAGCTTGTTGCTGCTTTTAAAACTTATTAAATATGTAGTAACTGTATACCAATATTGATGAAAGTTTGTTCTACAAAGAAATCCCTTCATTCCTAAAAATTCTCAACATTATCAATGATCATTTCGCCGAATCTAATTAAGTGACCCTGTTATTTATTTTTTTTAAAGGCAATGTACTTTCTGATAATAATACTATATCAAAAATTTGTGAAGTGCCAAAAAAGGATCAAGAATTAAACTAAAAACCCAACAACATTCCATCACACTGTGTAGAGGTTTTAAAATGACATCGAATATGTTAGAAAACTGATTGCGATTAGAAGAAAGCAACCATTTACTGACCTTAATATGAAATTCTGTATACTTTGCTCTGAAAGAAAATTAGTACTGTATGGACTATATTTTATAAGATAAAATTTTAAAAAAAGTTTAATAAATAGTTTTCAGTGTAAATACTGAATTTCACTATATTCCATGGACATAATTTTTCATTTTTAAATTTTATAAAATAATGAGAACTTTATATATATATAACGACGTTGCCGAGTGGAAGGATTAAAACAGGTCTTAGGCAGGAAAGGAGGGTACAAATTTTTTTTATTAATTATTAGACAGAGCAGTCATGAAAGTGCGCACGAAAAGTTGTGTTTCTTCATTACATGTTACGGAAAATCTTGCAAAGTAAATCTGCTAAATGTTTCAATTTAGACAAATCTTAGTAATAGGTTTATCAAATAAGTCGAGAGATTCCCACAGAGAGCAAAAGGAAAAATACCATGCTTTTAATTAAATGCATGCTTGAGCCGAAAATAGATTTAAGAACAGGATGTGGCCTTTAAAAGTGTGAGAAAGTATTTCAATTAGAATAATTAATTAGGATAGCATAAAAAGATTAATAGAAGCTTTTTATGTTCCCAGCTCGGTATATTCAAATAAGATTCCACAAGCATTTCATCAAATATGTAAAATGATTGGCGCTTTCATGAGCTAAGGGCTGACGGGATGCCAAAATAGATGGTGGTTGAATGAATTGTGAAAACATTGAATAGAACAATGGGAAAAGCACGCTTTTGAATAATACACGGAGAAAATAGAAATGGTAAAGAAAAATGATCTCATTTTTGATAAGGGAATATTAAGCACTTTTTAAAAACACCCATTAAAAAAACACCTTTAAGGGCTTTTAAAAAATAAAATAAAAAATAAGCACCTTTAAGCACTTTTTAAAAACGCTACGCACCATGATATATATATATGCACACACACAGATATATATATATTAAAACTTATTTTATTTCAGACTTACAAAGAAATTGAGAAATAACTAACAGAACTCAATACGAATAATTTTTAAAGTGTTTAAAGTACAAATAAAATTTGACATTTGGACGTGGAAGATTTTTTTTCCCTTGAAGAACAATATCTTTTAGCAATATATATGGGTTTACTTTTTTCTAAGATTAGGGTTTTGAACCTCCGAAACTAGTTTTGGACAGGACACATAGGTTTTACTGTCTTAAGCGTCTAGAACCTTGAACATTGGTAAAAGGCAAAAATTTTATGTGTAACCATTGTACACATAATAATTACATATATTAATAAATATTTGATACTTTTTATCTAATTTTCTTAAACTTATAAAAGGGAAATAATATAATATAATTAGAAAAGATTTATAACTTTTGAAGTTCTACAATTCATTGAGCAAAAGTGAATGCCTTANACGTAAATAAAAAATAAACACCTTTAAGCACTTTAAAAACGCTACGCACCATGATATATATATATATATATATGCACACACACAGATATATATATACTTATTTTATTTCAGACTTACAAAGTAATTGAGAAATAACTAACAGAACACAAAACGAATAATTTTTAAAGTGTTTAAAGTACAAATAAATTTTGACATTTGGACGTGGAAGATTTTTTTCCCCTTGAAGAATAATATCTTTTAGCAATATATATGGGTTTATTTTTTCCAAGATTTGGGTTTTGAACCTCCTAAACTAGTTTTAAACAGGACACGTAGGTTTTACTGTCTTAAGGGTCTAAAACCTTGAACATTGGTAAAAGGCAAAAATTTTATGTGTAACCATTGTACACATAATAATTACATATATTAATAAATATTTGATACTTTTTATCTAATTTTCTTAAACTTATAAAAGGGAAATAATATAATATAATTAGAAAAGATTTATAACTTTTGAAGTTCTACAATTCATTGAGCAAAAGTGAATGCCTTATCCTTTAAAAAGGAATAAATATGCTCTTAATCCTGATAAATTATGCTTTTGCAAGAGGATATTCATTTATCATGATATTCATTTCTCATAATATCTTTTCAAATTGTGACATAATTTGAGTAAATAGGTTTTGGACAGGAGGGTTTAAACCATAGAATAATCCTTTCTGTCCTAAACCTTGCCAAATCTGCTTTATCATAATTTTTACCAGTTACTTAGCAAGCAAGAAGAAAAGTAAATAGAGGTGTTACGATTTATAAAAAAATGCATTTGTATATAGATAAAATTCCGTTACAAATTCTACATATTTAGATTTGGTTAATTTTCATACTTGAAAACACTTTATTATAAAATTTAAGCTACTTGTAAATGTAAATTTTTAAACATTATTGGATGCTACAAGAACTTTCTTTATACCAGATAGGACTGGGCGATGTTAAGATTTCTTACCTCGCGATGCATCGTCACTCTAAGATAGCAATTATTGAATACATTGTGATGTTTTACTAACTAATATTTTGCATTTCAAATTCTTGCACTTTTTGATTGATAAATTCAGGCAATTTTATTCTAATAATAAACAATATACATTGAAAATAAAGACATGATACATTAAAAATAAATTTAAAAAATTGTGAGAGGGGGACAAAATTATTCAGTTGCTGCTTATGTCATTAAATAATTATGAATGTAAAAATGCCCATTAAGATCATTCATAAAAATCTTCTTAAAGAAAGTAAAAAAATTGTCAATGTCATGTAACTTCCCAGTCACCCCCCTCCCCTTCTTAAATTTAGTTCATTACTATCAATCATAATAAAAGGTTTTCGTGCAAGCTACAGGGTCGGGAGAAGCGCTCACCGCGGGTACTATCAGAAACAATGCTCACCATCACGCTTGTATATGATACGTTGCGAAACATTTCACGTACCTCAGTAAACTCTTAACATTCCATGCTTCGAAAAATTGCCAATCTGAATATTGGAACGATGAGGATTACACAACATCGATATTTTCCGATGCATCGCCCAGTCATAGTACTGGATAACACTTAGTGTTTCCAACTGTTTTTCGTAACTTTGCAATAAATCTTATCTCATTGTTTCTATATCACTACAGATTTATAGTAACAAATATTTTGTACATCATTTACTGCTTTCGAAGTACTAAATACAATGGTTCTAACACAACAATTTTTCATATGAATAAGACTTTATATATTAAATAATAGTTACTTCTCATAAGAAGTTTTGTTAATTTTCTTTTCTTCAGTAGAATGTTAGTTTTAAATTATTTAAAAATGATATATAAAGTTGTTTTGAAAACAATGTTTTTCCAACAAACTGCAAAAATTTTTTAATCACTGTATTTGTTCTCAATATCTTAAATAGTTGGCAACTATGAAAACACGAAATGAACTTACCTTTATAGTTTGGCACAAATACCAAGAAAAAGACTAACTACAGGATAACCAAATTAAAGAAATTACCAAGAAAAGAAAACACATAAGTTAATTTTTTTTTTTAATTTTTCGACTTCAAAAAGGAAACTTCTTGCTCCCTTTAAAAATATTAAGTTTATGAACAAATTAATTTACATAACTATTTGTCATCAATCACTCTGTCTGTACAGCAGCTGTTTTCTCTGAGACATAAATTCCATCTAAGAACTTACGTATATCTTTCCTTTTAACGAGGGTAGATTGATGAATGAGTGCTGCAGATCTCGAGACAGATTCTATGTTGTTTCCTTCCAACAGCAACTCGTCCTTCTGAGCAGTAGAATTTTTACAGACGACTCCTGGCAGCATATTTACTCGACGGACGATTTTCTCTCCCAGAAAATTTCGAATCTCAACTAGGTTTCCCTCTTTGGAGGTCGTGATGTTAATAGGAAAGTGAGCATATACTGACCTCATCTTGTACAGATATCCTTGGGTCACTCCTTTAATCATGTTTTCAATGTGTGAACAGACTGTTCGGACACAGGCCAATTCTTTGCGGATACCAAACCATTTTCGGATTCGAAGTTTATCCCTGCCAAGTAATTCCATATCGACTTGAAGATGTTTAAAATCTCGTTTGAGGAATCCACGTGGGCCCTTTACATGAATAACACGAGATTTTACACAAATTTTGACATTTTTTGGTATTTTCACCATCTGGGATGCTTCAATGGTTCGCATCGTATCAAACTAATTAAAGTCTCTTTATTAAATAAAAATTCAAGGCAATTAGTAGAAAAAGCTTCAAAATTTCCCAGCTGTTCGAAAACCAATTCTGGCAGAATGCAAATGATGACGATGCCAGATTCGCGATCTCGTAAACTTCTTTACGGTTGAATTGCGGTTAGTTAACCGTGTTTAATATTTGATTAAACACTTACACAATGGATGGTGCTTCCAACACTAGGAAGCGCTGCATACTTTTTACCGCCTATACTTCCGGGTTACTGCTTTGGGTGTATTTTAAAGCCATTTAGCTCAGAACGTAATCATTGTGTTTTGGGGTTCTTTTGAAAAGTAGTTCTTGCAAATGTTGTATTTGTTTATTTATTACTTGTGTTTACAATTAATTCCAAGTCTAAATTCTACATGCAATAGCTAATAACAATGTCGTTATATAATATGAAAAATAGTGAAAAGACAGTACGCTTATATTATTTTATTAATGTTAAAATTATAAATGGTATATAATTTTAACATTAATTGTGAATAGTAGTGTTAAGTAGAAGTAACACGTGGTTTGATCAATAATAAATATGTAAACCTAAACATTTGAAAAAAAGAATCATTATAAAACACGCAACCTTGTCACCTTTTTTAACAATATATCTATAAATAACTAAAACAAATTTTCACTTCAAACTCACCAGAATTAGTTACTAGCATTAATATCTTTCGAAATACGGCAAAAATACCATCCATATCTCTTACTGGCGAACAAGAAAAATCCCCGAATTTGTTGAATAACTTGTTTGACTCATTTGTCACTTGTCTGATTCAAGCAACACCTCCTAGAAGAAGTAAGGCCTCAGCACTGATCAATTTAGTAGTCCGATCTAACGAAGCTAACTGCGCAGTAGATGAAAAGTAAGAAAGATGTCATTTCGTTAAGTATACTAGGCTGAGCTGTAGTTGAAAAAACGAAATATGTCATTATGTTTGGACTACTAAAGGATATTTATGGTAACCCGTGCTAAGGCCTGCTCTTATCTAGGAGGTGTTGATTCAAGGCATACTAATATTTCAGACAGGTGATCCCACTTCAGCACCAAATGTGGTGCCCCTTCGTGGTTGGCGGCAGAAAAGTGTTGCTCCAAGAAGACTTCTCAATTCTGCGTTTATGTAAAGTCTATGGCGGGCTTGTCATACTTCAAATCGGTTTTTCTTATTTAAGATTCGCAGTTATCAATTCAAAAATATACTACTATTTTTCAATCTTTTTAGTCCACGTAAATTTGAAACTAAATTTTCAATCATTATAATGATTGATTACTTCTATATATTACTTCTTGTAATATTGCCTTTGAAACTTGAGCCACTTTCTCCCTTATTAAGACAGTCAAGCAACATTCCTCCTCCCAAGTTAATCCTTTACTAGAAGGATCAGACAGCAGTGACTAATCTTTAATTACTCTCCTTGTTAGGTGAGTAATTAAATATATTTCCTCCTGAAATTCTTGTATCTGTTATGACATTTTTTGAGAATACTTATTTTTAAGAAATACCTTTTAGAAGAACTATGTGGAGCATTTTAAACTTCTGATTAATTATTTTTACTTATAAGTTTTTTAAGTTATTACTTCGGATTAATTATTTTTACTTATTAGTTTTTAAAGTTATTATGAAAGATATATTTGTCATTAACTCTACCATTCTATGTATGTTTTAATTATTTAGCAACTTTTCGTCTCTGGTTTTTTTTTAAGACATTTTAGAAATGAAAATTTAGCTTTTGATTAGAGTGAGATGAACTTAATGTAATCGAAGCAATGACGTAAAGATCTTGCAATACACAGATATACTATAAAAAGCATAGTGCTGTTTTCTTACTTTAAAAAAAATGTATCATATTAATTAGTAGGTTAAAATAAAATGATTGACGTTGGTCTAACCATTTTGCGTTATAAGGTAAACTGCAAATGTAAAAAATAAATATCAGTTGAAGACTGACCAAATACAAAAACGGAACAAGGGCCTCGACGGGAGCTTGAAAGCACCGATATCTGTTACAACTTTCTGTTACGTTTCTGATAGCCAGAGTGCCGGTCAAGGACTTTAGTTTGAGTGTAATATATTTTGATTTTATTTATAATTCTTTAAATTATAAATTGTTAAATATGGTAAAAAAAACGTCAAGAAACAAATTGATATACCATTTTTTTTAACGAAGATGAAGTGTTGCAATTTTTACTTTCTATAAATAGTGGTGGAATAACTAGTTACTCTATAAGAGGGTAAAAAATTACTGTAAAATACACTGGAACATAAAAATAATTTGAAAACTTAATTTAATTTAGTAAAGTGAAGAAGAACATGAAAATATGCATATGCAAAATGTTACGCAATTGTTAGAATTATTTTAAAAAATGAAGTAAAATAAATTATACAATAGTGGGCGCAATTTATATTTAAGAGATAAAAATACAAAAGCTATCAAAATCTAATCAATCACTACTCAGGAAAAGTAGAACTGAAAATATAAAAACCAGTGAGATTGCCCCTGGAAACCGAAAGGTTGTAAACTATGATTATTATTTAGGCCTCAAAATTTCATCCAGATAAATTAATAAAGAAAAATACATTGTAACAATTAGAGTTAATATACATGTCCTACAATTGAGTCCTGTCACACAAGTAAAAGGATTATAATTAATTTTACCCATATAGCTCAAACTCATCCAGTGGATGTTAAGTAGACGCAAACATCCACGAAGGTCTATGGACGTCTACTAGGAATAACTANAAAAAGGAAAAATATTAAGAAAAGGGAAAATATCGTAGTACATTCCTATATAACAGAAAAGAGGAGGAGAGGGAAGGGAGAAGGGCTAAAGGCATGAAACCGGTCTCTCCCCAGATGGCGTATTCGAGTGTTGCGATCGCGAATTACAATTAATTTTACCCATATAGCTGAAAGTCATCCAGTGGATGTTAAGTTCGGAAACTTTATGGAACTGAAAACTGCATTGAGCATAGTTCTAAAAGAAAGGGTCATGGAAATTTTGAAATATATTTTTAACAATTAAATATGAAAAATATTAAGAAAAGGAGAAATATCGCAGTACATTCCTATGGAACTGAAAATAGGGAAGGGTAAAAAGCATGGAACCGGACTTCTCTTCAAATTGCGTATTCGAGCGTTGCGATCGCGAAAAGCTTTTACGGATTAGAGATGGATAATTTGATTCATAGGCGATCGCAACGCTCGAATACGCCAGTTGGGGAGAATCCCTTGCTTTGACCTTTCCCTCCTCCTCTTCTTCAGCTGTTTAGAAACGTACTACGATATTTTTCCTTTTCTAAATATTTTTCGTATTAAATTGTTAAAAATTTCCATGACGCTTTCTTTTAATATTATGTTTGGTGTAGATTTTAGCTCCATATTGTTTCCGAATTGAAAAGATTTTAATCTACTTGAAAATCAAGACATAAACTAACGTACTTCCTTCTTCTATGACTCTCTACACGCTAATGGTGAAAGTATGCTAAGCATTGCCATAGGTAGAGAGTTCTGCTCTACGCCACCTGTAGCTTATTTCGATCGTCAATAGTTTTTCCAAGGATGGACGTCTCATTTACAGCCACAGGAATTATTCCTGATTTGCTGGAAGACGTGTAACAAACATGCTTCGTATATCGCTCATATATGAACTCTGTAATTTACTATTTCCCATTTCTTTGCTCTCAATAGATGTGAGAGTGTCAAAATCAAATGAAAAAATGAAATGTTTTTTTCATTTTTACATCTATTAAGAATATAAAAATACGAATCATTAAATTGCAGAATTTGTGTATGAACGATATACAAAGAGCGTGTTCGTTACTTGTATTCACTTAAACTATTTAAAACTTTTCAATTACACCAGAGCAAATGCACTCAGTTTGTTCTGTTTTTATAAAATTTTAGGAAATCCAATATTTAAGATAAAGAAAATAAATCTTATCTTACATTTTGTGTAAGTGTATTTTAGTTCCTCGTAATAATCATAGAATGACACAAATTTGAACTGTAAAAGTACCGATTAAAGTACTGATTAATTTTTTCTTGTAATTATAAAAACTCAACGGTAAGGATATTTTAACATTCAATGCAAGTAAGAAAAAATTTTAAATGAGAAAACATAGGATTAAAACTTGTTTTAAGGAACATTTTTCTTTCTTTTAAAGTTCCTGTGCAGAGGTATCGTACATGAACAGTAAAAATGAGTTAGTTTTTTTTAAAATTAAAATGAGTTTATTAGCGTTTTCCCTTTCGGGTGTAGATGCGTGGACTGTGTTGGCATACAAAACATAGACTGAGTTTAGAAAAGATTGTGCTTGCCAAGTTGGTGTAATTACAGTGAGCCAAGGGAGATGCTCTAACGCCAAGAGAGTTATTTACAAATACAACAGTTTCTGTAAAACACACTTTACAGGAATTTGAATATTTAAAAAAAATTGCACTATACTCAACATCTAATTTGTAATGGACCAAGGCTACCTATCAGTCTCAGAACTATCCCTAGTTTCTCAGAAGTGGAGTGTTCCATTTCTTTAGCAAGAGGCACAGATGGTCCTATGTTGTCAGTGACACTGATTTTTGTAAGGTTGGGGGCCCTACTTAGATTCTGTATTTCTTATTATTATCTGGCATTCTTTAATATCAAATCTATTACTCTCTACTATTATCTAAAAAATGCATCACTTCTGGACATTAACAATAGGAAAAAATTAATGATAGTGAAATAAAAATTAAAATGTGCGAAATTCTGTTACATACATACGATTTTAAAAGTCATTTAATTTATGCTTAAATTTTTATTTCCTTAATGGATTTTACCGGCTGTATCTATTTTATAAAAAATATGGGAAGGAACAATGAAGGGCTGCAAAATTATGTAAGCTTGCTATGTAAAAAGATGGTTTGGTCAGTATTTCTATTACAAAACTACTGACTTAATCATGATTGTAAATGTAGACATTCTCTGTCATTTTTCAACTTTAATTACTTTCAATATTTTGATTTATTTCTGGCAATCATGTAATATTAAACTTGCTCATTCAAAACATGAATGATAAAACTCCTGCAAAGCTTCATGTGCATACAAGAAATTTAAATATTTTCCTTCAAAAATTTATTTTTATAGAATCCAATAGTAAGCAGTGAAACAAAGCAAACAGATCAGTGAAAATCTTTTAGTGACAGTTCCTTTGGATCTGTGACTAAATCGCATTAATTTCTGCCATGGATTTTACTTCCTAAAATAAATCCTGGTGAATATTTACAAATAAAAACTAGAATTACACACCAGATATGCAAAATAAGAACAGAATTTATTAAAAGAAATCCATTTAAATGAATCAACTAAAATGAAAATAATCTCTCCCCTCCTTTAAATTCAAAGATTCAAGATTTTCTTCAAAAGAACCACTGGTCATATCCTGTAAGAAAAACATTGGACATCACATAAACAGCAAAAAACAAGAGAAAATAGAGATGAAGAATTTATTAAGAGGACCTCCATCAAAGGTATAGAAAGAGTTCTGGTTAACCCAGAGTTTCATAGAATGCAAATAAAATTTAAGACAGGATTACAGAGGGGGGAAAGTAATTCTGCTTTTCCTTTCAGTATTTTGAAAATATTTTGCAGCATTTGAAACTCCCATTGTTTACCTGAACTATACTTAGAATTACGTATCTAAAATAGTTTTTGGTAAACTCTGGTAGCAATCAAATTCATTTTAAATAAAGTTTATAAAACAAAAATTAAAGTATTACTACCATATTAAATACAAAATAAATACTATGGAACACCTGAAAAAAGTTTACAGCATTGATATAACTGCCAATTTATACAATCGTTAGGAAAGATTTTACAAAGCGGTAGTATTATAATAATCATGATATTAAGAATTTTCTAAAAACATGTTCTACTTTGCAAACATTAAAAAACATAGTTGCCAAATTAATTTTCTTATGTACATATTTTGACATTGTAGGTAAAATAAGATTAAATATTTAAAATTAAAATTTTACGTTAAAATATAAATATTACTACTCTGAAATACTTTTTTTCTCAACGACCTCAAAATATGGCGCCCTATACTAAGATAAATGCACACGCTTTAAAATATATTTAAAAAAAATTGAAGGAAAAAATTATGATATGAAGAAAATTTTGAAAGGAAAAAAAAAGTGATTACTATTTTCACACATAGTATGATAAATGCGCACAGTTTAAAATAAAAAGAAGTTGAAGGGAAAAAAAATGATAATATGAAGAAAATTTTGGAAGGAAAAAAAGTGATTACCACTTTCACACATAATATGAAAGGAGGTTTGGCATCTCTGAAATGTTTAATTGGAATGCGAGGCTTTGGAATGACCTAAAAATATTACAAAAATAAATTTGTTACATGTAACACACATATAACATCAAAATAACAATATATTTGTCTTCAAAATATATTTATTAAAATATCTGAAAATTAAATTGAAATAGAAATGCTATTTAAAATCGAAAAAAAGGAACATGAACATTAATACAGGAACATCCTGCATGCATTCATGCTACAACATTTCTGTGAATAACTATTTATGAAAACAAAAGAATTAGTCGTGTTCACCACATTTGAAAAAAAAAAAATTAATAAATAAAATACAGAAGAAATAATGGGCAAATTTCTCCAATGCAGTTTCGAGACATGAATAACGTTTTTGTTTTCATAAATAGTTATTCACAGACAAGCTGCAACATGAATACAGGTGTCACCCAAAAATGCCCAGTTCCGCATTCATATTTCACTTCTTTGATTTCAAATTACTTTTCTTTTTTACTTTATTCACAAATTGTCAAATTTTTTACAAAAATACAATAATTAATTGAAATTAAGGTTTAGTAAATAGCATAAATTGAGAATTAAATAATAAAATGCATAAAATACAATAATTAGAACTTTTTGATAAAAAAAAAGTTTCTTTTTTTATTTACAGCAGAAGAATTCAAATAACAATAACTAATTAGGACAAAACCTAACCTTAAATGGAAGACTAAATAATAATAATAAAAAAAAATACATCATAGGAGACAAAAAAAGTACTTATAATGAATTAATTTAAAGACAATAAAATTATTATATTATTACTGTACTTTTTAGTGGTTTTTAACCTGTATATTATTCTTAAAGTTATTATTTTACAAGTTGTAATCTTTTTTTTCTTCTTTAAAAAGTAATTCAGATAATAGGGAAAAAAAGCAATGCTTGAATAACTTTCGATATAATTATTTGCTTTCCATGCACTATTCTGAGCAATCTTAATGTTTTGATTGATTAACCTGAAACATACTAATTAATTAGTTTAGACAATATTTTCCCTGAATGAGCCTTATTTTTTAACAGACTTCGATTCTTGAATGTCAAACTAAGTGAAGAAGCCAATCATTTATTCAAAATCAAAATTAGATCTATTAATTAGGCTGTGTAGGTGCTTCGCCATATCTCTAGAACTGTCTGAGCAAATCAAAAGTCATTCAAGTTTTGTGTTTGTTATACAGTGGGTGATCGGTTAACGAACATAATCCGTTCCAAGACTATGTTCGCTATCCGAATTGTTCGTTTACCGATCATCGATTCACCATAGACATCTATGTGAAATCGATTAATTCGTTCTGTAGACCCTAAAAATTAAATTTAAAAAAATTTATAATTTCTTATTAAGTTTTTTAAAAAATAATACATACATATAGTCTTGCATATTAATCAGTCCTTTTCATTTTTTGCTTATGGGGCATGGGGCGTTGAAGAACATGTCCAATGTCGATTGCTTTTCTCTCTCCTTCAGGATTTTTCGGAATTAATTAATAGCATTGTCGTTGTAAAAATCCCCAACCCTACTGACATCAGCTTAGTGTGGGTGCCATTCTAAGACCATTGCTCTGACATCCTCCCACTTTTTCAAAAGATCTTTAACGGCGGATGTCGGCATTGATATCCTCTTTCGTTTTCCTTTTGTTTAGAAGGAGCCACATTTCGCTGTGTTTCTTGGTGTTCTTCATTCAAAATTTCTTGGAGTTCTTCTGTCGTCAGTTAATCTACATGTCCCATTATGAGCTCTTCTATGTCATCCTCGTTCACCTCGAATTCCAGATCTCTAGCAGTTGTCAAAATTTCATCCATAATTTCAGGGATGTCTCCCTGATCACCTCCGTCATCTTGAACGAAGGATGGACACAGCTTTCGCCAAGCAGAATCAACTGTCGCTGTGTGACTTCTGACCACGCCTTTTGAATGATACGAATAGCTTCAAGAATGTCAAATTTTTCTTTCCTAAACTTTTTTGAAGTCATTGTTGAGGAGAATTGGCTTGCTTCAAAACACCGACGAAACAGCGCGCGAGTGTACAATTTCTTGAAAGCCGCAATAACTTCCTGATCCATCGGCTGAATCAACAAAGTCGTATTCGGAGGTAAAAACTGAAGTGTCAGCCAGGGAAAGTCTGTCAACAAATTATCTTCAAGATCCTTTGGATGTCCTGGTGCATTGTCCAATAGCAGCAGTGCTTTCAACGGCAAGTCATTGGTATCAAGGTAGTCCTTGATGCTCGGGGCACAAACTTCAAATAGCCATTCTTTGAAAAGATACTGCGTGACCCATGCCCTCTGATTCGATCTCCACATTACTGGCAGTTTATTCTTAATTACGGATTTTTTTTTGAATGCTCTGGGATTCTCAGAGTGGTAAACGAGAAGTGTTTTAAGCTTTATAATAATAATTATTGAATGACCTTTAAATTTAAATTCATTGTTAATTCAAGTTTCATTTAGTAATTATCAATACTAAGCACGCTTTAAATATTTCTCCTTTCAGTGATCTTATTTTGTATGCAAAATGATAACAAACGTTTAATAGTAATTTTTTTTCAGGCCGAGAAGTGTTCGTTAGAATTCGTTTTGTTCATTATCAGAATATGTTTTCGTTGTCCGGACACAAAAAATCTTTCTTGAAAGTGTTCGTTATCCGAATATGTGTTCGTTAACCGAACACAAAAATCTTTCGTGAAAGTGTTCGTTAACCGATTTGTTCGTTAACCGATCTGTTCGTTAACCGATCACCCACTGTAATTCAAAACTTTTTCAACTATTATTAAATATAATAATAAATAATTATTAAAAATTATTTCCTTTGCACGAAAGTATCTTTAGATAAATCAATTTTATAACTCTGTGTAAAAATGGTTCAATTCACTTAAAAAGTTCTCGAGATATAGCGAAATACACAAAATAATCATTAACACAAAATATTATGCACACTAATTAATTAGCATTAAGGTTAGGTCCTTGAACTATTGAATTAAGCTGAGATGGTATATTTGTAAAAGTAAAAATACCAAACCAGCAGCTCACCGGCATTGAAAAACTATTAAAGCTAGAGATGAATTACAGAGTTTTTCTTTTTTCAAAATTCCAATATGGTTTGGAAGTTATTGCAATTTTAATTGCATTTTACAAGAATTTTTCCTTCACCCTTTGTTTGAAATAATGACCAAATATTCTTTATTGAAAAAAAAAAAGAATAAAATTTACTTTTTATTTGCACTTTTTTTTAATTTAAAAAATTTCCTCACATTTTTTAAAATTGAAAGAAAAAATAAAGAAAGGATTAGCACATTATCTCCAATTTTTACTTAAGTTGTCTTTTTTTTTTAACTCATTCAACTAAAAGAAATTTATTGGAAAGTTTTTATTATAACGCAGGGCTCAAAAAAATCTCAAAATATTTGAAGATAGTTAGTCTACTTGCTCTGTCTGGCATGTGAGCCTACAAAATACATGCCCAAATGTCTTAATAAAAACAAATGATTATACCTATTATTAATCTTACATACTACTAACAAAACTAGTATTAAGTTATATAAAGTATTTTTAATATAAAGTTTATATTGAGTGTCCGCCCGGTGGCTGAGTGGTAGTGCTTTGCGCTCCCATGCCAGAGGTCCTGGGTTCGATCCTCGGGCCGGGCAAGGTTGACTCAGCCTTTCATCCCTTCAGTGGGTCGATAAATGAGTACCAAGCATGCTTGGGAACTAAACACTGGGGGTTCCGCATTCAGCTGACCATCTGACCGGAACATCTGCTCCTGCACCCCAGAGCCCAAGGTCAAGAAAAATGAGATGGGCACAGTAGGCCTTGGCCCTCTATTGGCTGTCGTGCCACTGAGTTTAGTTTATATTTAGTGTCAGTATCTTTCAGATAAAGTTTGTAATGGGTTTGTCAGCACTCTTTATGTGTTGGGATCCAGCATTCATCCAATAAGGTTTGTATCGGATGTCCCAAATATGATTGAAAAATCGATTAAAAGAAAAACTGAAGGAGCTGTGCGGATTACTACTTTTCCTAAGGGGAGAGTGTAATAACATATTATAACCAAATTTCAAAAGTAGTAACAAAATTCATTAACAGATAGTGATGCAAAAACTATAACATCATTTTCAAAGTAACCACCATTTACAGCAACAACACAATACAGCCCAAAGATAAAATCAACAGATATTCATGCAAATATTTCAGTTAAAATTATTTAATGTGTAACAGAAAACATTTCTTTATAAATTTTCACCAATAAGCATCGTCATCTATGGATGAAGTTTTTAATTCATTTTAGAACTTTTTGAGCAAAACAGATAAAATAAATATCAGGTTTTTTAAAGAGAAGGCAGCAAAACATTTATTTTTATCCTCTTTCAGTCATATATTCGATATAAAGATGAAAAAAAAATAATGATTGCATATTTACAATGCTCTCTTCATATATATAGACACCTTTGGACAGCTTTTTCACATCTACATCACAAAATGCTTGCACCTTTAAAAATTAAGAAAGGGAAAAATATACAGACAAATGAAACATCTACTTTTAACATTTTCAATAAGTTAATATATAAGATTATGTGATAAATATGCCCATTTGTTAAGAAAAAGGTGGAAAAAACTCAGATACGAATGCCTTAATATTTGCTATTTTTTAAAAACTAATTTGCATTATTTTAGTAAAATATGGATGTTTGACTGAACAATAACAAGGCTTAAAAAACCGGAAAAAATTTAGAAAAATTCCGGTGTATCCCTCTGATTATGTTATGTTTATGAGGCGATGCGTGAACAGCTTAATATTCTAGGAAGTTTTATTACTGTGTTTGAATTTAAATTGACGCGTAATTTTACCATTCATAAGAGTTTTCGGTAACTTATTAATTCTAACAGGTCGTGAGCTTAAGACAAATTAAAAAAAATTAAATCACAACATAAATAAAGCCTAAGGTTTGCCATGTTTTGAGTGTTATCCCTTATATGGCTATATTTGTGTAAAATAATGCTGCTTGTTATTGTTTGGGTAACATCATAGCAGCTTGCAAAGTCTTCCGAATTCTTTTGTTGTTTCCTTGAAAATTAAATTGAAAGAACATGTCATATTGAAAATACTAAACGTATATAATATTGGATCGGGCACTTTTTCAGGCTCAGACGAAAAAATCAATCAGAAATCAGGAAGTCTTAGAAGAAATTTTAAACCCCAAACACCATCTGTGCCTAGCTTTACATGGTTAATCATCCATAACATGAACAAATAATACTTGAAAAATATAAATACTTATAAAAGAAATAATTTCTGGAAGAACATACTTTCTTTAATTGAGAGCTCATTGTTAAGTAGAGACCTTTGTATTTTATCAGCAACATTATGGAAAAACTCTATAAGTTATTCACAGTGTATGCGATAAAATATTAAATAGTTGGCTACATTGGACTAACTAGACACGCTTTGAAATTTATACTTAACCCTTTCGCGCCGACTGTCACATATACGTGCCAGCAAGAAACGCACTCACTTCCTGACCGACACACCGGCGTGCCAGAACGTTTTCTCGTTCACCCCCGGTCGTCACTCATTTGTATCAGTGTCCTGAAACGTTTTCAAAAACACAGTTTCTGCCAGAAGATGGCATTGTATGTCGATATGGTTTTAGATGCATGTAGATTTGACCTTCTACTCAAAATGAGAGTAGTATGACTCACATACACATGGATTTTAGGGGGAAGGAATGGAGGAGAAAGAAATGTTTAATGACGGCTCCTTTAAATTGGTATTTGTTTACAGTGAGCAGGGGAGGTTTTTCTTTTGCTGCAGCGTTGGGTATTTCGATTTGCGGTCCAGTTTTTAGTGCAATGTTAGTGTTTTCAAACTTTGCATGCGAAAAAAGAATTTTAAGTCATATATTTAGTTTTCAGATATATATCGTTAAAAGTTATTAAATGGTAAGTACATAATGAAAATAAAATGTGTAAAATATATATTTAAACAAGAAATAACTTGAGTAAATAAAGTACCTATAGAAATACATATAAAGCACATGCCATTTAAATATTCTACAGAATATTATTAAACAATGCATTGATATTTTGGTAATTTCATGGATTTAGGCTTAACAGCAAAAAACCCTCTGGCCCCAAACAGACACTCGCGAGAGACTGCTGGCGTCAGCGATAAGTGCGAGCTTGCGCTTCCCGTCGCAAAAGGGTTAAGGAAGACGATAGATATGCCCGTTATCAATAATTCGAGAAATCATCTATTGCTGCACATTGAAGGAATCTTGGGCATAAATTCACTTTCCACAATGCCAAAATTATTTCCATCCTTGTCATATCAGCTCATCTTGATGCCTGAAGTTTTAAATCAAGTAATATGTGATAAAATATTAGTATTCTAATGTTGCACTTGATTCTCAAGCGTTTAAAGACATGATAAAGTAACTGGAATACTAAAAGAAATAATTAAAATTAATCAACTGAAACTTAATTACAAAGTTGAAGAGGCAAATTGTCTATATAGAAGAGACAATCCTTTTATTAAGTCTAACTTAAGTTAATCTGATTTCTTTTGTTTATTAGTTTTGATTTTTTTTGCCTGTGAGGCAAAAATAAATCTATCACGCACACAGCACTAGTTCTGATACCCGGTTGAAAGGAGGCTTTTTCTTTCCCAAATAGTTACATATTTTTTTCATTAATGGTGTCTTTAAAAGTTTTTAAAAATATTCAAAAAATATAAAGCAATCAATAGATAAAAATGAGTTCATAACGAATAATTCATACAAACCTTTTTCTTGTTTTGAGATGAGAGAGTTCTATAGAATTTTCTTCCTTGTTTGCCAGCATTCCAGATTGTGAACTCATTCCACTTACTTAGCACATTTGTTTCTAGTTCCTTTAATCTTACATTCCATATTGTGTCCCTGTAATGTAACTATGCTTATTCATATATCAAAAAGATTCACATTTCTATTAATTCATGATTAAAAATAAATAAAGAATCTATAATACAGAAAAAGATAAAATGTGTGATGGAACAATCAATACTCAGAAATTTGATGTCCATTTCTTCTTGATTTATTTAAAGGTTTTGCATTGTACCATTGTGCGTGCACAAACTATGCCATCTCATCGGTGAACAGGGATCAAAATAAAAGCAAACACCTTAATTAACTAAAGATCATACTATTTTCAAGTACCAGGACTTAATCTTAATGGTTAAATCTGCCTAGACTCAAATATGCAAATAATATTTCAAGTTATAAAATAAGACATAAAAAAGTACTTCTTCTAAATAAATATAAATTTTCTTCTATGGATGTGAATTCTTGAAGCTCTAAATAAGGAGTTGCAATCTAAGAAGTAGGGTCTTGAAAGTAAGAGAGTGGTTGAAAATTTGGTCACCTTAATGAAGTAATATCCCTGAATAGGGATATATATATCTGAATAAGGATAGGGCATACCTTGCGCTACATCTGAATAAAGCAAAAATGACATGAAATAAAACACATTTAAGATACATAAAGCGCATATTTGTGCCTTATTTAAAGTTGCTTTCTAATAATTTCCAATGATAATTTCATTGTTTGCATATTTCACCATCTTAGTTAAGTAATATTTTTAGACTTTCACTTTCCATGAACTATTTAACCAATGACTGCAAACTTTAGATTTTATAATTTGAAACTATATTGTAAAAATTTATAATTGTATTTTCGAACATTAGTAAATTAAATAATAAATAATTATAAAAAATAATTTTTTACATGGAATTATTTATGGAAAAACAAGTTTTGTTTAAACATTTGTTTGCCTTATAATTCAAAATTTTTCTCAACCATAAATTAAACAAATAATGAAACACAAAAATCACTTATAATTTTTTACTTATTTATTTTAACACGGAATTATGGTCAGTGGGTGGTGTCATATTCACAGAAGATCAAATATAATACCCAGGGGTTGAAAGTACACAGGTAGCAATCACGGTGATCTTGTCCGAGTAGAGAAAAGTTGCTCTGTGTCAAAGGGAGGGTATGCCCCAAGGAGAGCCAGAGGGTGTAAAAATGCAAATCAATTAAACATATGGCGAGGAGTTAGTGGTGTATCTGGGCAATTGTTACAGAGTCAAAAAGTTCTAATGGGTGATGGTTTTTATAAGATCTCTTTTGGCATTGACTTCGCAGATCTGAGAGTCTTTTGTCTTAAGTTGGTGTCTTGCCTCATAAAGTGGTATTTTGCAAATGCATTCACATTATCTATAGCAGTCAGGTTATGGGTATTTGGTATGAAGATTCCTTCCTTTCTTATCCAAGCGATCTGCTGTTTCGTTTACAGGGATGCCGACAGGACAAAGTGTATGCCTGCCTTTTGGAAGCTATTATCAGAAGAACATGGAAAAGGTTGCTTTCTGATAATGTGTTGATAGACTGCATGTCCTTTCCAAGGATGGCAGAAGTAAAGTTTTTTTTGAGCATGGTATAAGGAGGTTGATAACAGTTTAAGGCAGTGATGGAGATTATGAAGGCTCCTCCAGAATATTAAAGGTGTTGTGCTCAAGACTGATCTTTTGTCGGATGTTAGAGTCAAACTGTAGAGTTGATAATCTTTTCAGTCTAGGACTACTTAAGCAAGTCTTACCATTGTAATCTGAAGGTTTAATATTCTGTTTAAAATTGTAATTTGTTTAATTCAATAGTTTTTAATTGGAATATAACATTTTTAATTGAATAGCGTACTTTTTCAGCTTAGGCATAAAAATCAATTGGAAGTAGCAAAACCGGAAGTCTTGCACCGAATTTTAACCCCTAGCGACATCTGCGCTTAGCTCTACAGGGTCTACCATCTATAACAACACTTTTCAAATTAAAAAATAAAATTTGATTTCCATATAAAAAAACCGCTACAAAAATAAAACTAATGATTTTGAACGTAATAAAGAAAAAACGTACTCTGTTATGGAAAATGTTGTTGCACTAGGGTGATATCTATACATGAGGAGATCTTCTTCCACTTTTTGCAGTTTACCACCTAATCTTAAATGCTTGTAAAAGAAAAGTAGATCCTCAGGAGTACCCTATTAAAGATCTATTTTAGAAAGTTTTACCTTCATTAAAAATAGTTAACAAAATGGATGGTTGACCACGTAAAGCGAAGCACAGATTGTGTTAGGGGTTAAAATTTGTGGTAAGATTTCCGGGTTACTACTTCCGATTGATTTTAACTCTTAACCTAGAAAAAGAACGCCATCCAATATTATTACAGTGTTTAGAAAATAATGTGCTCTTTCAATTCAAATTTGAACAAGACAAATGTATTCGGAGAATTCTGCAAGCATGCTATGATGCAACCCAAAAAATTACAAACGGTGATATTTTGCACAACTATAGCCAAATAAGGGATAACACTCAAAACATGGCCAACCTTACACTTCATTCATGTTGTGATATTAATTTTATTAAATTTGTTTTAGGCTCACAACCAGTTAAAATTTATAAATTACAGGAAATTTTTATGAATGGTGAAATTATGCTTAAATTTAAACACAAATTACAATAATAAAAATGTTTAGATTAAGCCTGTTCACACATGGCCTCGTAAGCATATCATAAGTGGAGGGACACATCAGAAGTTTTCTAAATTTCTTCCAGTTTTAGGAAGTTTGTTGTTGTTTACATTCAGTCAACCATCCATACATGATTCAGGTATAGTTTGCTTAAAATAAGAACTCCCCCAGACATTCACCTGGACCTGTGGCAGTGACTATGGTAACGAGGTATGACTATTTCAAGTAGGGGTGCAGGGTCACTGTTTTGGAGTGGTTTCGGCTCTGGTCGGTGTGAGAAAGGGAATCTTTCTTCGATCTATTGTGTTCGAAGCTACTCTCCCTAAAATGCGCCTTGTTTCCATAGCGCGAGACGGCTTCAGACTTCGTGGGGGGAGGAGTTCTTAGCTTAGACAAACTATAGAAGGTGCCTAACGGTGGACTGACTGATTTAAAAAATAAATATCTTAGACATAAGAGGTGTCAGAAGATTGAAACAAGCAATATGTTCATTCTGAAAGTTTTACAAATTTTATCTAAAAATTTTAATATTTAATTACAAAAGTTGACAACAGATGGCACTGTAAGCCATTTTAGCATTGAAACAAGGGAAAAAGTTGTCTTATCGGATTAGGAGATATCAAGTGATCTATTCAATACAGTGTATGACTGGATGTTTTGTATGACTGGAATATCATAGTCCTACTGCATTTGTTTTCTGTTCGGAAACTCTCTAGAAACTGTGTAAAATTCTTTTCGAAAACTCTTACTGTGTAAAATTTTTACATTTTTCCCAACAAGCATATCGCTTGTTTCATTCATCTATCATCCTTTATTTCTAATATTTTTAATTGAAAGCAGTCAGTTTCCCACTGGACAAACTGTACAAAGAAATAACTGTAAAAAGAATAAGTATTTTAATATAAAGTTGTATGCAAAAATTTACATGCATCAGCATGTAACTTTTGACCTTGAGTGCGGGACCCCTTGTCTTGCAATCAAAAATTATTTGGTAAAAACTACATAACATGTAATTAAAAAACTAATTTCAACAAACTTTAAACAGAAAACAAACAAACAATGCATTTATAACATAAAAATCCTGAAATGTAGAAAAACTAATTATAGGTGTCAAAATACAGAAATCTTTTAATTTAGAAGAACTTTTAAGTTAAAGAAATTCTTATTAATTAAAGCAAGTTGTAGTTGCTTAATTAGTAGTAGTAATGTAGCAAGTTGCTTTAATGTAATGTAGAAACAAATGTAGTTGCTTATTTCAAAACTCAGAGCTGTGAGCAATTTATGAGTTATAAAAAATTAGTACCGTCAATTTTACCGCAGAGGAAGCTGTTGAAACCAAACACCATAGATTCAAAATATTGTGCACAGTATGAAAGATGATATTAAGAGATCATGAAAATTCAGTTAATATGGTGATTTATTTCCCTTGTTTTGCTTTATTCAATTTCTCCAATTAGCTCACACTCTCCCTATATATATATTTATATATCTAGTTCAAATTTTTAATCGTTAATAAAATACTTTTTATTCATCCACGCAAGTGCAAATACATTTTTTTGAACTTGCAGTGGCTGACACTTGATATTAATACAGTTTATTAAATATTAATTCATTAATTAAATAGGGATGAGCGGAAAAATAAATGGAATTTTCTGATTAGTTAAGCGTTACTCATTGTTTTAAATTTTACTATAACCGATTCAGTTTTACACATATTTTAAAAATAATATCAGTGATAATTTCTAATTAACAGCTCTATTTGAACAAAAAAAAAAATAGTTTATTGCGCACATTTAAATATTTAATTATTTCATATTCGCTGAGTCAGATAAATTAAAAAAAGAACATTATATGATATCATGAGTGGTCTACATCACCTCTTATAGTTGTATGATACCACACGCCTTTTTTCTTTCAATTCCTACTATTAGTTCTCACTCCCCATATATATATGGGTCATTCTCACAAAAACAGTCATTTTCATGTCCCCAGTATAAGTTGTTGAAAACAAAAC